CACTGTAATTATTAAATTTAATAAGAGATGGTGGCTAATACTTGCCTCTAATGACAAATTATGTAGAAATTAATTAAAAACAAGTAAAACAGTGACGCCATTCTTGGGATGAGACTATGTCTCGGAGAGCACGAGCAACGCGTGTGCAAAACTTGCCCTTGCATCTGTTTATAGAAAGTCTCAGCAGTTTGTATTTTATATGGTTCTCGGTCACCTGACTAGCTACAAGTCTGGTTTATTTTATGCACACATGATTTGGGCACCAAATACTCTGTGCCAAATTGCAACTCCTGACATGTACTCCTTCATACCTCTAAGGTGTGCAGCCATTGACAGCAGCGCAATTTTAGAGACAAAACATAGTCTTGTCAATAACAGTGGAGAAGTAGCCCTATTTAATCCAGCAATCATTTGGTGTAAATCTTAACACTATACACACTTGAAAAGTAATTTATCAATGTGTGAATGCATATTGCAGGAATGAGTAAGTGAAGTTCACTTCTTATCTAATGTTATGGAACATGGGAGTTAATCACAAGTATGTAGTTTGCCAAAAGGTGTATAATAGAATATCACTCCAACAACCTAACCAAGGAGGTGTCTTAAACCTTTAATAATTTTTCCAGTGCACATTCCAATGCTCACTTCATTAAAGCTGTGTGCTAGTATGACTAGTTTTTATTCCTAGAACTAAAATGTTCATTCAACGGTAAAACAACCTGCATGTCAAACCAACATAGTAAAAATCATTTTACCATCTAGTGAGCTTGACCAGATATATTCCTAATTTGTCTCTTGTTCATTCTATCTTTATCTGTTTTCAGAATTTACATAAAAGTTGGTAAGTATTTGACACATAGTCAGATGCTATTTATTCTATATTATGGAGTTATCATGGATGATATAGATGTGCCAGTGCCTATGAATCTGTCACTATAATCATCACATTTTGTCTCTTTATATTGTGATCATTTTGATAGGGAGTTGAAATCCACAAGACCAGTTTTAAATTAATAAGACCTTTTATGACTGAGAGAAAAGCCATGCACAATTGCTATCTGAGTTATTTATGTGAACACATTGCTTGTCATTGCTTGTGTTAAAAGCCCTTTTTTTATGAGCATACGGAAGGCTGCCAATTTATGGGACATGGGATCAAATGATTGCCACATATATAAGAATTAACACTATCAGACTTCCAATGGACTTTTGTTAAATGCCTAATATGCAATGATAATATCTATAAAGTTCACCTCTCTAAAATCTATTTGATCTATATTGAGTCCAATACCCATGGAATTGTTAATACATGACTTTGTCAATGATATCAAGTCTTTGCTCTTCCATATTAATAATGTATCATCCATATAGTGGCAAATAAGTTTAATGGTGTTCCTATATTTATTTACAATTGGTTCCTCAACCCAAATAGAAACAATTTTAACTATATCATCAGGAGCCCCATTGGAGTCCCTGCAAGAGAGCACATTGGGACTCCAATCTTGTTTGTAATAGGTATTGCTCCAAATGTAATAAGAATTAGATAAGGTTTAATTAATCTGTCATGATTTTATACAGTAATACCCCGACTTACGCAAACCCGGAGTTACGCGATTTTCAAATCTCATCGATTCGTCTTTTGTTTGAGCGCCATGCAACTCTTGATTACTCACTCCCCCCACACTATTGTTCAACTTACATGTTCGGGTGTGTCGCGCGGAATCCACACATAGCTACAATTTATTTTGTGTTATTTATTTCTGTGTTTGTTATATCTACGGAGACTCGAAAGACTCTACTATGTCATCCAAATGAAGTAGAACTAATTCTTCCGCATCAAACAAGAAAAGAAAAACTTTATCTTTGGAATGTAAAGTTAACATTGGGTATGTTCGTAAAGTCGAACGAGTTAAGCGAGAATGAAGTCATCGTTATTCCTATTTCGTTAGACTTTTCGAACGATTCGTTACTAACGCGTTTAACTCGTTTGACTTTACGAACGTACCCATTATTAAAGACTTCGATACAAAAATGAAAATTTGTGAATTGGCAAAGAAGTTTGATCTACCGGAATTGTCGGTCAGAACAATTATAAAAGGCAAAGAAAAAATTCTCGAAGCTGTGAAAAATGCTCAATCTTTAAATTCAAGCATCATTCGTAAACGTCACAGTATTATCGCTGAGATGGAAACAATGTTAAAATTATGGCGTAATAATCAAGTAAATGTGAAAAATTGTAAAATAATATAGGCCTAATTTGTTATACATATGTATTATCTAAGATTTTATTAAACATTTTTTTCTAAATTATTGTTTTCTTTAGTCTCCGGCCCCAATTAAAAATTATTTGTATGTATTTATATGCGAAATTATACCCCGACTTACGCGAATTCGACTTACGCGGTTACCGCTCGGTCCCACCTATCGCGTAAGTTCAGGGTATTACTGTACTTTTAAAAATATAAAATCAAGCCAATATGCTCTGTAAAAAATCAAATTTCTAGTTAATGCTATGGCTGCCTTTATTTTTAGACCAAAGGAAACTAACATAGTCAACAACTGTTAGAATATCTGTATCAATGAAAGTAATTCATGAGAGAGCTTTAATAACCTCAATGGAATTACTGACTGTTTATGATGCTTAAATTTTCTTATTGTAAAGGAGTTTATGTAAAGTGCATTCCAAAGTGATTGTGGGACAAAAGATTTAGGTTTGATAAAATACGGTAACATGGGCCACTTGCCAAGGAAAAGATGCCTCCCAGGAAGGCTTTCTTTAGGAAACTGGCCCCTATTTAAATGTTATACATGTAAAGAAAACTTGAAAAATTCCACATAGCCAATCCAACTGTGAGGTGTAAACCCACAATCATCAGTGAACTACCAGTATTCAGTGGTTTTATCCACTTGGCCCTGGAAGATGTAAGGACAAAAGATTATTCTGAAACTAGCCTAAAGGAACATCCAGGTTTGTGTGTTTTGACCATACCAAATAGTCTGAGTTATTGTTCTTTTGTATACAAATTCCAATTACCTTGTATATAGCACAGGTCCTTTTGGCAAACTAAATAGTGATCAATGAAATCATTAAATTGTTGATTTCATTGAAATTCAATCATTAATTCATACAATCTGCATTCAAATGCTGATAAATTACTTTTCAAGCATACACAGTGTTGTTACTACATGTGAGTTAAGATTTACACCTCCTGTAAATAAGTTGAATCTTACCATTGATCTTGTTAGAAGTAATAATTTACCTTTTACTTTATTTTATTTTATATAACTTTTTATCTTTCTTTTAATAGTGTTTTGTAAGTTGATGATGTTTTGCAATGAGAATGAAAGCACTATTTCTAATAAACTATTTGGCTCCCTGAACAGTTTTAGTGTATATTCTATCTAAAATGGTGTCAGTTTTGTTTGATTTTTATTGATAATACTGCATTCATTTTTGGTGTTCAAAACAATACTCATATAAAATTTTATTATTAACTTATTTAAATCTCAACCATAAAATTAGTTGAGAACTACAAATTAAGTAATATATTGGAATTTTTTTCCAAATCTTATAGAGTATGTGAATTTAAAAGAAACTACAAGTTTAAACTAAAAAACTTAATATTGTTCAATATAATATTTTTTAAAAGTTACATTCTTTTGCAATCACTTAAAAAATATTTTCAGTACTTAACTTCATCTAAATTCACTATTACCAATACTTTTTTTAAAAATCAGTTTAATGTATAACAAGAAACAGTCTACAGCATAAATCAGGAAAATAAGATTAATGATTTTGTATTTCTTTTAACATTTTCATGTAGAGGATGTTCTGCAATCTTGCAGTTTGCTAAAATGTATTAACCATTATTTTGGAATAAAGTTACTTGTTGTACTGCAGCAAGAACTTTGTTAAAATCTTACAAATTATTTCTCTGTGAACAATAAACTTTAACTAAATACTATAATTTCATGAGGATAATCTGCTGTGGTATATACCCTCAGAAAATTAATACAATAAAATAAAACCTTTGCATAATTCACTCCACCATATATCCTGTGTCTCTAAATCAGCCATTAGTGGCTGATACAGCACCTAATGCCACAGCACCTGGATAACCTGAAACAATGCACCTATAGAACAATGAAACTGATTTCAGAGGATATGCTTGGATGCATCTGTACAGAACAGTTCTGGTATTAGTGTCTATGTGAGTTTTTATTAAGTATAAAATATAAGTACAGTAGAGCATCGATTATCCAAATCAATTGGGGACTGGGGTTGTTCGGAAAATCGATTTTCCAAACAACCTCAGTGGTTGTGCCAGTGCTGCCAGCTAAAATACACACCAACAAAAATAATATTGGAGTAGCCCAAGACATAGCCAAAGATTGCAGTGCCACAGCACTAGAGGAAATTTAAATTTGCTAACTGGAAAGCTTTCAGTTAATTGAAGTTTCGATTGATCGACACTTGGATAATTGATGCTCTACTGTATATAAGTATAAATATCTTTGACATTTTCCATGTCACCAACAGGACCCACATCAAACACTTATAATATGTATGTGAAACTTGGTGAGTTGTTCAATCTTTTCATGTCATTACTGTTACTGTCAATACACATATGTTATTTCAGGTATGAATATATCAGCTTTACTTTTATACTACCTTTTTTGAATAACCCTATATTATAAAGTAGCTTTAGAAAATGTTTTAATATAATATTTTCATTCAAAATTTTAAAGTTTTGAAAAATAAAAATATGTCATTGACAATTCTTTCATTTATCTAGAATTTTATTATATATTAATTTTTATTAATATCTTATCACATTTTATTTTACAATATGCTCATTCAAAATATAATTTATAACCTATTATTCAATGTTGTCTATTAAAAATGCCCATTTATATAATTCAGAGAGGCCTCAAACTAATATATTTAAAATATGTATAATAAACAAACTGATAAATATAATTACTAAATAATCTGTTACCTTGACCAACAGTATTTGATGAAGGATTCTGTGACATTTGGGTCATTTCTCCTTGAGATGGAGGACCTTGTTGACCTGATGGCACAATATGACTTTGAGGAGAAGGACCTTGAGCAAAGCTTTGTGGAGGCTACAAAATAAATAAATAAATCTAATTTTTTATCTTAAAAATTGTTTGTATTGTATTGTATTGTATTATACTCAAGTTAATGATGATAATAATAACAATTTTTTTATTTGTAAAAATCAGTTCTATAATTTAATATCAATAACAATATAAAGTAACAATAATATCACAAAGTCTATAGAAATAAAATAAAAAATTCTAACTTATATATATTGTCTTTAGCTACAATTTATTTATAAGAATGAATAAATGAATGTAAAATATCTATACTAATATTATAAAGAGGTAATGTTTGTATGTAAGTTTGTTTGCAGCAGGTAATCTCTGAAACTACTCATCCGATTTCAAAAAATTCTTTCATCAATATTTAAATGGAACTTCAGGGTGGACATAGGCTGTATATTATTCCGTTAAACATTCATATAAATTAAATTACATCATCTAGGGTTAAGGCTTTTATGTCTAACAGATGGCGCTACGGGTATAACGCCCTAAGTTTGCTTTTCTGTGAGGCATTATGCTTTTCTGTGAAAATGAACTAAAGTGGATCATCTTCTATATATTTATATAAATAAAAATGTGATGTTCGTTTGTTCCTACTGATTCCTTTGAAATTTTGACACAACGCTGCATTCGAATACGCACGTGTTTTTATATAATATACATGTCGAAATCCTCCCCGGGAGATGGATGGGATTAAGGCTTACTGTAAAGAACTCTGTTTCTATTTATACTATTTTAGATGCGGTTTTTTGCGTTTTTGATCGCATTTTAATGGGGTACGTCAAGAGAATGTACACTAAGAAGAAATTTTTTGAAAAATCCCCCCATGGGGGAAGTGTTATAAATTTATAATAGATACATTTTGAGCCACAACAACACGTGACGGGGTCTGCTAGTTTTGAAATAATATGACTCAAATTTCAAAATATAAAACCAATTCAATACTCCCCCCATGGGGGAAGTGTTATAAATTTATAATAGATACATTTTGAGCCACAACAACACGTGATGGGGTCTGCTAGTTTTGAAATAATATGACTCAAATTTCAAAATATAAAACCAATTCAATACTGATAACTTGTATAAATCAAATTAATTTAATTTAATTAATTCTCAATATAAAAAAATGTTAAATACATAAATAAATTCATTTTATGTAAAATAAATTTTCAACTTACTGGTAAATGTACTTGAATATTAGGTCCAGCATCAGCTACAGAAGCTAGATATACTAAATTCCTATGAAGTATTTGCTGATACCTAGATTTAATAAATATATATAAGTTATAATTTTTCCTACACATTTTCTTTACAATTTAAATAGTTCAATTCACATGATAATCAAACTACTACTTCAATATTATTAAAATATCTCAAATTTTCACAAATAAAATTAATGGGAAATTAAAATTTACCATTACTAAATTAGCTAAGTTAAATAACAGCTTTAAAATATTTTATCAAAATTCAAAAACTTTAATGATTTATTATAATAAATATTCAAAATTAAATTTTAAAAAAAGTTAAATGCTTATCAAAATACAGTACAGTCGACCCCCCTATAACACGGGTTCCTATAGTTCAAATTCCTATATCATGGCAAAAAAATTGCGACTGTATTTGTACAAACATGCTAAAAAAAACTCATATAATTCAGTAAAATGTCATCGCTGACTCACGTCGCGACAGGATTGGTCGAATCTAGACCAATAGTGCATATTGCACAAACTGTTGAGTTTAAACAAGCAGCAGACCTATTAAAAACCATTTATTATTTAACATCCATAAAAATTATATTTATATTAATGATGTCTCCAAAGGTCAGCAAATTTTTCACAAAAAAATAATTTATCAGGAAGCACACGAGTGCCATTCAATGACAAGCTCCACAACGAAAACAAGCTTAAGCAATGGTGTACTCGAACGGTGCACACTCGGTAAGTAATCCTACAATTTTTTGTTTACAGCATACTTTATATGGATTGGTCCCAAAAAATTATACGTGTTTTGGAAATGTTGAGTCAAATTAGTCTAAAATCGATTAATTTTATGGAAGAAACCTTTCAAACAGCCGTAGTCCGTAAACTGCATATGTGCCGGGCTGTGATTGGCTGGACTCATAGAAAATGGATTCATAAAAACAGGAACATATCTACTATGTTATAGGGGGTTCGACTGTATATAAAACTGAGGAATAAAACTTTTGTTTCAGCTAAAAAATATATAATACAGTAAGACCCTGCTTAATGCAGGGGATGCGTTCCTACACAACAAACTGCTAAGCGAAACAGCATTAAATGAGGTCATTTTAACATAGAGTTAATAGGGATAGGGGAACACGCATCCAAAAATAAACAAATTTTACTTTAATTTTAAGTTATTTTTATACTAATTTATATAATAATATATGTTAAATAACACATAAACATATGCACACAGAAATGTAAAGTTCATTTTTTGTGACGAAGGTCCTGACTTTACTGAAATTCTTGTTTTTTTTGCAATAAAGTCATGAAATTTCGTTTGTCGCTTTTTTCTTTCCTTAAGTAAATGTTGGTAACAGACGATCATATCCAAAATGCCTCGTTTTGCTTTAGCACTCCTTTCAAAATCTGGATCATTTGCTACATTTTGATCAACGATTTTGGTTATCTTACCAAACTTTTACTAAGGAAATCTGTAGAGAAATTTTTTGGGTTCTTCATTTTCAGAATCTCTATTTTCCAGTTCCACACGAATTCCGTGTTCTGCCAGTTCTCGAAGGTCATTGTTGGTAAGGCTCTCACCAGAAACCTGAATATCCTGTTCGTCTACATCTCTTAATCCTGCTATATCAATTAGGTTGAGTTTGGTCAACCTAACGATACAGCAATAGGCTCTTCTCATTGAGAATTCTTGGATACCTTCAGCCATAACTTCTTCCACTCTTCGTTTGTACATTTATCAGTTAATTCTTGCCAAGCAAAGCCAATATTACCCGTGGCATCCATGATGTTATATTTTTCCAAAATTGCACCAAACAAACATAGATTTAAAGAAAGTACATCTTTTTGCCACCTTTTTCTGATTGGTTAATGTTCGTAAATAATCGTATTATATACGAATCAATAAAATTCCACAATAATTTAAATCAGCATAAATTTTGAGCTTTTTTTAGGCTTTGAGCAGACTGCGTTATATCGAATCAGCGTTAAGTGAGGCAGCGTTAAGCGGGGTCTTACTGTACTTCTATTTATTACTCCATATCCCATATTTTATCAGAGTATTAGTTTTTTTTCAATTTCTAATAGGTAGGTGCTACTTATTATAATAATATTGGGACTAACTTATACTGATAGCAACAAACAAGTAATAACATTATTTGGTGGAAATTAGACAACAATTAGTGGAAATTCTAATTGTACTGAATCAGATAATTTAACATGTTAAAATTATTAAAATGTTTAACATTAAAGTTAATAATTAACCTAAAAATTTTTTAATTATAATAACTACTACTTGAGTAGTTCATCCGAATTATTTGCCAGCTACATTTTGACAATATATCACTAATAAAATGCTCATATTCATAATGTTTTTAAAACTCAATACATCTTTACTGTATATTACAATGGAGTACAGTACTTGCAGTACTTCTGCACCTGAGCATTTTTTGGAGAATATAGATAATCTTCCATATTTACTTACTTTAATTTTGTCAGATAATTTTCCAAAGCCTTCTTCAGTAACAATTTATTATATTTCTTATAAAGTCATCATAGCAAACACTGAAATTTCCTTGTCAATTGCTAACCAGTTTTTATATTTTTGTTTTGACATATCATCTGGAGTGTTATTAATGGTCTCTTCAAAAGACAACTTCATGCCTATTTTAAAATTTCTTTTAAAAACAATTAGCATTGGTCTTTTTAGATACTTGATTCCAAACCATTGTCAAAAGATGTAGTGTATTGAGCTTTTGGCAATAGAAGTCATATCAATTAGTTTTTTGACTATGATTTAGTTCTTCTGAAATTACTACATAAAGTAAAATACAATACTTTGGCAGTGCTGTAACTATAGAAGTTCACAGACACAAGGCCTGCAATGAAGGGTGGCAACAAAATGAAACTGACAAAATGCTGTCAAATATACTGTAATACTGTAATATTTTCCTTCAAAAATTATTTATAAACAATTGTTGTATCATTTTTGTTTTACTATTATTACTATTTCCCCAAAAAATTAAGGGGCAAAATATAAAGCCTTGCGTAGGGCAGATAAAAAGCCAGTTACCACATTATTTCTTGGTCACATGACCGAATCAGATAATGTATCTGCAAAAAAGTATATCATTTTAATATTTTTTAAATGACACATTTAGTTAACATATGCATATGCTATGCAACTATCTACAGTACTAATAAAACAATCTTTCTGTTTCAACTTTTTAACTCATTTAACCAATTAGTTGTTAAAAATATCAATTGTTATCCAGACAATTGAATTTGAAACAGTAATCCACCAGTAAATATATTACACCCTTAAAATATCTAGAATTTTTACTTTATTCAATCATCAGAAGTCTTTGTTTCTGGACTTGCATATTAGCACAGCAAAGAACTATAATACTGTACTGATTCTATAATACTTTTAACATTTTCTTGTTTAAACATATAACAAAGATTAGGCATTACACAAAAATAAAGTGTTGTTTCATCTGCACTATAGATATTCTGCAATAAAAATTCAGCAATAACTTTTGACTATTCTGTCTTTATCCTGAATTCAGCTGACACATATCAAAACTTTTCCCCTATCACAACGGTTTCCAACCTTTTTCAGGTGGCGACCCCTTTTTATAAAAGCCAAGTGTCCCGCGACCCCGATACAATTGAAAAAGGCATTTTTAATAAGGTAATTAAAAAAACAACGAAATTAGTTTTTTACTATAATTTTATTTTAAATTGTTTAATAATTTAATGCGATGGTTGAAATTGCATGTTATTAACCAGTTTCAAAATTCGCGGGAGAGTTTTTGTTAACGCCAATCTCATGTCATTCTCAACATTTAATTTATTTCTCTCAAACTCTCAACACATGTTTCAACCAACTGTGACAGAATAGCATACCTAGATTACACTTATTTTAATTTTAAAAAAATATATGAAATTATTCAAACTTCAAGACACCATTAAAAATAAAAATTGCATTATAGTGAATATTTTTTTAGTTTACTGTATAAGTTGGCGACCGCACAGAAAGCCCGTCGCGACCCCCTTCTGGGTCACGACCCATAGGTTGGGAACCCGTGCCCTATCACATGTGCATCTGTACTCAATGTTCTGTTTTCTCTAGAATAAAATCTTTCTTTCCCATATTTTCAGCTACTTCTGCTTTATGATGCATTAGTGACCCATTAATGGATGCAATTTTTTCATGAACATTAATTTACAAAACCAAAGCTCTAAAGCAAATTCAACTTCATTACTTTTTCAGTCTGATTTCTCTTGAGAATCATATTCTTAGTTTTTCCTGCTTACATTTCAATATTAATTCTGTTTTTTAAAATCTTGCACAAAATTAACTGTGAAAAATTTTAAATGTGCAGCACTGATTTGTTTTTGGCAACTTATCATAGCAATTCAACTTTATCTTTAAAGGACAAATCTTTGGTATTTCTTGCTTGCTTTTTCCATTATGTTAGTAGGTACTTACAGTACTGTACTTTAACTAAATGGTAATGAATATAACAGCCTTCAACTACAGTAAACAGCTAGCCTTTACATAAAGTAACAAGAGCCAGAAATCAGAGTTATATATGTCTGGATGATTTAATTTAAATTGATTGTGTTAACATTTTTATTAGAACAACACAACTTGTAACCATCATTATCTGTTTTATCAAATGACTGTTATTAGCCAACAATCTAAATTCAAACTTATCATTAATAATATAATAACAACAAACATTTATTGTGACATCGTCATGATGCTAGGCTGCAATTTTTAATCAAATTTTTAATTTATTTATTTTAAAATATATGCTCTCCACTTCAAATTAGTACTGTAGTGTCTTGCCCCTGTACATAATACTTTTCTGTTCTGGTTGTGCTGGTCATCTATCTAACTTCTTTCAGGGGAAAATCTTTGAATTGAAATAACGTGACTTTGATTTTGCATTGGAAGTTCTTATACAGTTAATCAGGTCCTAAGTTTTCCATATCTGGTCTTGAATTTCATTTATCTAACACTGATCTCAAGATTAAGGAAAGACAGAC